AAAAAGGCGGGATCCAAGCCCCTCCCACACAAAGCAGCAAAGCTAGGCCGCAGCAAAGCCACCCCTCCCTTTGTGCTTGTGTGAGACAGGCTTGGTTGAAACCCCATATTTTCCAACATCAGCCATTTTGTCATTGAATTTCTGTGACACAATCTTTGTTGATGCCTGTAAATGAGGTGCTGGGAAGCCATATGTAGGGCATACCTATTTAAAGAATTTATAACCAGTTCTTCAATGTCAAAGGCTCCCTGAGTGCTAACAGAATAATAAAAGGAAGATACTGTTTGCACCTAGGCTTACAATCTAAAAAGATATAGCAAAAAAGCAAGGCAATACTAGTTTAGTTTATTATTATTGATTAGCCATTAGGCCATATCAGGATACAGAGTATAAAACATGTAATACATAAGACATTATTAAGATCATATATTAAAAATAAGATAAGAGAAACAAAATTAAAAAAGAAAAAAGATGCAAATAATATTTCTGTATCACCCCTACAATTTATTCCAATCAGATCCACATATGCAGATCTCAACTGTACTGTTTTGTTCAAGTAAAGGGCCGTATTATATATAATTTTTTAATTCTGACCGCACATTAAATATGTTGTTTTAATATAAGGATCCCAATAGATCATTTGTCTAATGTGCAGTCCAAGATACTAATCCCTCTCTTTTTTATACAGTTGACATTCAAATAATATATGTGTTATGTCTTCTATCTCTGGAGTTCTGCAAATACAAGCACGTACATTATAAGGGACTTGGTTAAATCTTCCATATTTAACCATTGTCCAACTGCTCAAATCTTGCTCGAGTACATACCGCCCTAAGGTATTTGGGCATTTCTGTGTTTAAATACTTGGCAATTTGGAAGGTACATTTATAATGGCTCATCCATTTCAGTGAGCCAACCTTACTAAGGGTGGCTGTATCTTTCTACACTTCTATATCCAACATTCTTTGTGCGGCAATCTTTTTAGCTTGTTCTCCGGAAACAACTGGACATGAGACAGGGAGACCACAGCTCCTAATGTAATTTGTCAATTATACTATCCAAGAGGTCTGTAATTGAGATTTTGTCTGTTCTAACAGACACAGTTTTGGGAGTCTGTCAGTTTCCATAGCACTGATTTTGTACCAATAATTATAAGACAAAGAACAAATTGTATGGATTCCCAATTCAGCTCTAACTGCAGCAGCTGAAGTTCTTTTATCCACGCCCAGGATACTTCCCAAATGCTGTGAATGCGTTTGTTCTAATACTGATACGTGTTTTAAGTCCCAAACTTCAGCGCAATATAAGAGCATAGGAGTAACCTTGGCCTTGTATACTGTGCTAATTGGGGCTAAGGAGGGCAATACTAGTTACTACTGTAAGCCTTATGTTCTTTCTCATTAATTTAATAATAGTATATACTGTGCAAAGTAAACTACCAGTTCCTTATATCATAGTATAGATAATTTTCCTATTTTTCCTTTTTCTTAACATACTGAACATAAATATTATGGAAAATTAAGTTTTATAGGAATTTGGGAAAAAGAGGCCAGTGCCTACCATAGGCACTACTTTCTCTCTCTTCCTTCCAGATTCTGCTTTATAAACTATTGCTGCTGGAGACTCTTTTTGTTTTGTTTTGTTTTTTTAGTTCAAAATTAGGTTTTGACATATCTGAGTTATATTCTCACATAAAACTTCAGTTGAATTTTCACACATAGCACAGAGACATTTGGGAAGTCAAAGAATGGTTTCTTGAAACATTCTGCAATGAAAACTCAGTGTAGAGCATTTGACTTGTGTATATTTTTATATGATAGGATGATACATTTCAATTCTGTGGAGTAACTTGGTTGTTATGAATCAGTCATATATTAGAAGCTTTTGCATAAGAATAATTCTTTTCCAGTGCAAACCGAAGTTTTTACACTTTAAACAGTTACTTTTTTCTTTCTCTGTACAATAGTAATAATAGCAGAACTGACATCTGGGAATGGACTTTCTCTTAATAGGGAGAGTCCAAAACAATTATTTTAGAGAAAGCTGATAAAAAATTATTTTCAAATATCAAAATCCAAACCATAATGTTTGAAATATGAACTGTATTTCAGTTCTGCCACAGAGCTTCTGTATTATTTTTCAGCCTCTGGTTGTTGAACGATACCATCCTCTAAAATACAGTGGTACCTCGGTTCACGAACTTAATTCGTTCCATGATTCTGGTCGCGAACCGAATCAAATTTCCCCATAAGGTTCAATGTAAATATAGTGGGGCAAAAAAGTATTTAGTCAGCCACCAATTGTGCAAGTTCTCCCACTTA